CAAAGGTGGAGCCTTCTGGATCAGACAGACCTCAGCTGAGCTGATACGAACTACAAACACATGGATGTTGACTGCAGGTACAGCTTGGTGAGGCCCACTGCCATTGGAAGGACTGAGAAACTAAGTCCACTCCAAATTGCTGATATGAAGAATCATGAGCTAAATAAATGGCTGTTGGTTTGAGCCTCACAGTTTTAAGGTAGTTTGTTACACAGCAAAAGCTAACTGGCACACTATTTGATCCCTTCATTTTGTGAGCAACAAATCAACTACCACACCCTTCTAGATGTTAGGATAAATATAAAGAGGATACCACATGTATGCAAAACAGACAACACTGCTCCATAGAAATGTTGTACTTATAACTTGACTTTAGAACAAAGAGAACTAACAGATTTTGACAAAATCATGAGTGTACAAATTCATATTTTTCTTTAAATTCACATATCTTTTTTTTTAATTGGGAGACATATAGAATTTGGAAGGTGGTATCTATTTGAATCTAAATTTCTGAAGCTTCCTGATAAAATTCAGCATATTTTTTCATTTCCAAATCTTTCACTTTAATAGATTATGCCTTTATTCTTACTTTTTTTTATTAGTATTTTTTACCAGTGTGAGATAGGATTACTTTTAGGTGTTCTGACCAAAACAAGATAGAATATTCCTTAGGTTTACTTCATCGCAAGTTAAGCAGAACTTCACTTGCACTTCGCTATCTTGAAAACCTGAACATTCTTTAGATTTTTCTCTGATAAGGTTCTCCTTAATTTTCGGCCAAATTTAATATTCACACTAGAACACAGGTAGCAACAGTCAGGGATGGGCAGGCACAGGGTGGCCTCAGCTTAATAAAGAATTAAAAAATAATTCTTGAGCTTTTCTGGTTCTCTCTTTGTACCAATCAGAGATTTTAATATGGGACAATGGCACTGGACTTGTTTCATCACTAAGGCAATCAGATTAGGGCCCAAGATGAGAGGTTCTGGATATCAAAGCCCCAGAATGCTGTTATTTACAGAGTGAAATTAGTTCTACAACTCAGAGCTCTTCTGACATATCAAAGTCTTGAATGCTGAATCATACTCCCCACTCACTCCGCAGTTCTAGGACACTGTAGTTTACTGCTCTTAGATAATTATCTAAATTGCTCTTAATGATAAGTACCTTGTTCTCCCCAGGCCCTGTCTAGGTATCTTGGATTCTAGACCTGCAGTTTATACTGGACACTAACATTAAGCCATCTTTTTGTCTGAGGCCACCCTGTGCCTGACCATCCCTGACTGTTGCTACCTGTGTTCTAGTGTGCTATGGCCTAAGCATACTCTTGTTTATGAGATGTCAATGGACTGTCTACATCATTGAAGCCCACAAATGCTGAAATACAGAATGAGCCTCATCATTCCACAATTCCTTCATTCTGAGTTATTTCATGACTGAGAAGAAATTACTTCAAGGAAGACCCTGTACTGGGACTCTTTTTGTATCTGCTGGCTTCACAGAAAATGTGAAATAGCCCTGTCCTAGGACACCCAGAATATTTGGTTGCCTAAACAAAATATAAATGCCTAGAATTTCTGTAGTCTCCATTGCCTGTCTCGCATCTGCTTCACAGTGAGCCAGATATTTTTGCAAGTGCAAAAATATAAAAGAGAAGTTGATATGTATATAATCCCCCTTATCAATAAATTCATTCCAACAATAATGAAAGAATGAATGTACGGCTAAATTATATTAACAGAACTGACTTTAAAGTTGCTAGCAGATTTCCTCTCCAGCATTGAAGATGCTGAGTCATCTTGAGGTAGCCCTTTGCTCTGGAACAGAAATAGCAGCCAGCACTGCTCCCCGTCTTCTTCTCCCCTTCTTCCTATCTTAGACACAGAGGTGATGTCTGGAGCTTTAGCAGCCATCTTGTAACCATGAAACAAAAGGTATGAAGACAAAGACCAACACTCTCCAATGACATACAGAAAAAGCTTGGTCGTTACCGGCACCATTGCACAGCTAGCTGGACCAATGCTGACCACATCCCACCTCAGGGCTTCTTGTTTTGTGAGAAAAATGAATCTGTATCCTTTAATCTTTTATTAAGTCTTTTGTTATATGCAGCTGATTATGGGGAAATTTTTATTTCTAGTAATCACACAATATCAGAAATCAGAGTTATAATTTGCACATTAAAAAAATTAATGTTATCTTATTAGCCTCACTGCGACATAGATTGAGGTTTATCTTAGATATGTTATAAATCAATTATTATACACACACTTAACCAGAGCAACAACTTAATTGTGTAGTTTTGACTTCAAAATGCATAGCACTTTCTGAACAACACATCTACTATATATGACTTTCTCCTCCACAGAAAGCATTTTTCTCTATCAGTAAAATACTGCTAACATGAGCTAGCTGTTGAGACATGCAAAAAAGCCTCAGGAGATCAGACTGGATGTTGTAATTGTATTTGCTGAAACAGAATTTAACTTGTAAATATAATTATCCTTCGTCTTTAGTGTGATCGCCTTTCATTTGGATTCTAGTCTGGCCTCAAGACCTTAAAAGTGAGATGAGGAGCAGGGAGAGGGTCTGGATGTCCAGGCCGTGACAAAAAGCGAAAAGGGCTGGGCTGCTAGCCCAGCTAGTGGAAGAGCATGGGACCCCGAACATTAACCTGCCGAGCTAGTGAGGGATGTTTCCAGAAAATGAGAGCCAGCTGTTCTCCATCTTTTATGAGGACAACTCCAAAGCAAGTGGCCTTATGCCTTTGCACCGGGGAATTAGAGTAGCCAAAAAGGAACTCCCTCCTGGAAGGTGGATATTGACAACTTCTCCTGGGATTACATATTTAAATAAGATTTGGATCTCACTCTCTGGCGATAGTGGTTGAAATTGAATTCTAGGTCTCAAAAACAAAACAAAACACCCCAAATTTAAAATGTTTAACTCGCTAATGAACAAATGCATGAATAAATAAGTGAACAGAGATGCGCAGGACGGGGCCTCCCGTGTCGCCCCACCCCGTGTACTGTTGCTGGGCATTCACTCTTTAGGGGCATCCATGAGTGAGAAGCGAGGGAGAAGCCAGCAGGCAGCGGGCTAGGAGGAAGATGGGCCCTGGGGCCTCTGGCCTCTGCCAGCCCCAGAAAGGCCTGCCTCCCTCAGGTAGGAGGGGAAGCAGCTCTCTGTGAAGGCACAATGTCTGGAAGTCATTAAGCAAAAACAAAACAAAACAAAAACAACAACAACAACAAACGACAGGGAGCTTTTCTGGTTCTTTGTACTCATGCTCATCCCTGAGAGGGTAGTCAGCATCTGTGTGGTCCTGCCTGAAGCCAGTGGTCAGGAGCCACGGACTTGGACTTATCCTGGTTGCTTCTGTGATTGTATCAACCTGTGTAATTTGTAAGCTCGGGGTTATTTCCCAATTAGTAAATCTTCCCTGGGATGAGTAAACATCTTTCTGGGAAGGGGAAGCAAAATATTCCTGCTCTTATAAAAAAATGCTCAAGCCTTTAAAAAGCCTAACAAGACTTGGTCAAGCCTGGCATTTAAGGAGAGTTAGAGCCCCATGACTAGACTAGAGCACATTAAATAGCTAACTGGCGCCATCTGGAGGGCAAGTGGATTCTAAACAATAAAGCCAATTTCAAAACCCTGACTCTTAAGGTTAACATGACGTACATCCAAACATTATAGGGAAATTTAAAAAATGGGATTCCCTGCTTCTTTCCTCCTCCCTTGTTCTATGCATGCACCTGGGCCTGTCACAAGGAGACTGGACTCATGCTCAAAGGACCTCAATTTGACAACTCTCTCCAAATTAGGCTGTGAACGCGGTGAAGGGGCTTCATTACACAACGCGACAGTCCCAGGACTGACTGGTACCATTTGTTGTGCCATGCTAATCATATTTGCACTCAGTCTTGGAATTTTATTGTGTCTCAAAGTGTCAGCCAGGTCATTTCTGTCGGAGTCACCTAGGATGTCTAATAATAACTGCGGAGGGGGAGGAAGTGGGAGAGGGCAATGGGGGGTAAAGGGACATAGGTAATACTTTCAACAATAAAAATTTAAATAAAAATCTGCAGATTTCTGGGTATCTTTCTATCTATAAATATACACAAACATACTTATATCTATTAATATTTATGGTGTTTGTGGGGAGAGCGTTGTGGAGGTAGGTAGGTCTCAAAATAAGTCTCTCTGAAGGCAAGGCAATAACCATTTTTAAAAAGAGAAATGATCAATAATATTACAAATAGCCCATAGGCCCAGTAAGATAAGATATCTGTTGAATTTGGGCAACATAGAAGAAGTCTTCTGTGATCCTAGTGAATTTTACTTGAACAGCATAAGCAGAACATAGATTTTTATTTGCAGTGGGTGAAAATGTAAAGTGAACTCAAGAAATAAAGAGAGTAAATGATAGACTATGAGGAATAAATCTGACTGAGACAATATGAATGAGACGGTGTTGAGGGAAGTAGAAATGCAGGATCATAGGTAGAGACATAATTTGGAATAGGAGCGACCCAAGCACATTTGCAGGTGGAAGTAACACAGCAAAAAGAGAGGGAGAGAATACAGACATGAGAATATGAGGAGAGGGCTGCTCAAAGAGAAAACAGAGCATGCATTCTGGAAGAACACAGAAGAGGAAGGTGGACAGGCGACCTTGCATCCCTTGAATGTGGAGGGGAAAAGACACTAAACAAAATGGATGTAGATAAATGGAAAGATCTCTCTGTCTGGGTTACTGTCCAGATGCTGAAGCTCCCGAGAGCTCACCTCCTATCGCAGCCTCTCCTGACCCATGCCCTGACTGCAGAAACTTCTATCCAGTCGCTTACCAAGTGTGGGTATAATGCCATTGATTGGAATGCCACAATGGACACCCCAAACTTGGCTAACTTGGGTTCAAACAATGAAGTGGAGCTCAAAAAATTCAAACGATCAGAGTCACTGATTTTTACTCATATTTATAATTTGTACTTGCAGTGAGAGGATGAGACCAACTTGGGGGGTGGGGGATGGAATCCAAGTTCTGAGAGTCTTCCAAAGTTGCTCCATGAAGCTGAGCTGTGGTTGAGGCTGTTTCTTTTTTAAATCCTGGGGCCTTTGGCTTACACATCTAAAGTATCTGAATTAAGAGTATGGGTCCAGTTGACCAGTTCCTCCACTTCCTCTTCCCCTGGCTCATGTATGTGCTCACCATCATCTTCCCACTCTTCTGCTTCATGTATCTTTAAGACAACTTCTGTTTCAGATGGTGAATCTAGAGAAAAACACAACAGAACTGCAATAAGAAGTATGAAAAACAGAAATGTAATAGACATGGTAGGAAATACAATAAAAAGAGGAGCATTCCTGCATTTGTAGCATAATTCCTAAGGTCATGTGAGTGAACGCAAGCAACCCTTTTAAACTTCCTAAATGTTACGCCTTGCAATGAATTTTTTTTGTTAGAAATCATTCTTTCCATTTGGGTCAATCTTTGTAGTCTTGGTTGGTTTATTCATTTAACACATATTTACGGAGTCCCTGCTACGTGCCAGTGGATGTGTCAGGAAAAAGGTGTGCAGGAGTGCTGTAGCCGCACAGGGATGGGATCGCTGTGTCCAATGAGAACAGAAGTGGACTTAGAAAGCGGAGGGCGAAGAAGAGGGCAGGAGAGAGGACACAGCACATGCAAAGGCACAAAGGTACGTGAGGACCTGACAGGTTTGGAGGTCATCAGAGTTGGTACTTCAGTATTTGCACTGGGCCAGGTCTGCGCTAAGCAGTCTACATGTATAACATGATTTAACGTAGACACAACCCTTGTGACGGGCAGGTATTATTATCCTTATTTTATAGATGAGTCAATCTAGACTGAGTGCCCTGCGTAACTTGTCCAAGGACTTCTAGCTAATAACAATTGCTCCCAGGTTCATGGGAGTCCCAAATCGCCGTGTTGAAGTGCATGGCGGAGTCAGTGGAGCTGCCCGGCTGAGCTGAGGCCAGATGAGGAGAGCCTCCTGTGTCATGCAAAGGAGTTTCATCTCTTAGAAGGGTCTGGTGAACAGGGAAAGAAACTGATTATATCTTTTAAAGAATAGTATAGACATAGTATCTATATTTCTCAATATTTCCGCTCAGCATGGGGAACTTGCTTTCTAGGGATGAACCTTAGTTGGTGCTACTTATGCTCTGCTCCCTCTACACTTCATCCCTTCTACCTAGATGCCACTTAATTCATTGCCTAGTATGGGTTGCAGGATAAATTCTGTTGGTCTCCAATGTTTATTCCCCCCAATTACATATCAAATGAACCTTGTAATATTCATTGCCTTCAAATCGTGCTATAGGAGTCAGTGGAGCTGCCCGGCTGAGCTGAGGCCAGATGAGGAGAGCCTCATGTGTCATGCAAAGGAGTTTCATCTCTTAGAAGGGTCTGGTGAACAGGGAAAGAAACGGATTATATCTTTTAAAGAACAGTATAGACATAGCATCTATATTTCTCAATATTTCCACTCAGCATGGGGAACTTGCTTTCTAAAGGTGAACCTTAGTTGGTGCTACTTATGCTCTGCTCCCTCTACACTTCATCCCTTCTACCTAGATGCCACTTAATTCATTGCCTAGTATGGGTTGCAGGATAAATTCTGCTCATCTCCGATGTTTATTCCCCCAATTACATATCAAATGAACCTTGTAATATTCATTGCCTTCAAATCGTGCTATAGATGAAGGTTATGAATGAATTGTTCTCTTAGTCTCTTTGGTACAGAAAGGTTTGAGGAGAAATTGGAGTTTAGACAGCTGCCATTATCCTATGAGGTCTCCAATGATCACGTTTTTATCTTTGCGCTTTAGTGTTAGTCTCTAGCTTTCATTATTTTAAAACTAAATTCTGTTTTTCCCTTGAGAAAACCTTCTACTTTATTTTCTATGAACGTATCACTAATGGAACTAACGCCAGTTTTTTTCAAACTGTGTTCAGGCCTTCCTAAATTCACATGCTTCTGGTTATAGGAAGTACAGAGCCCAATTCAAAACAATTGAAATAATAGGGAAATGCCTCACCTCACAGGAGAGAAAAGTCAGAGCAGGGCAGGACTGAATGATACGGTGCCTCAACAATGGCATTAGGGACAAGTTCTCTTCACTGCTCCGCTTGGCCATCTTTGGTGTCATCTTCAGACTCACAGCAAGAGAGATGTGGCCATTCTAGCACCACTCACATCAGACATGGCAACGTCCAGAGAAGAAAAAGGGGGTCTTTGCTCCAGGGTCTCATTTTTAAGAGTAGAAAAACCATCCTCTGAGGCCCAATATATTTCCTTTCAAGCGAGATTGTCATACCCCACTCCTAAACTAGTTGCTGGCAAGGAAAATGGTATTAGCTGGCACCAGTTGTTGGTGTGGAATGAATGTTGAGTGTCAGTCATTTTAACCATTTGCCTTCTAGTTCCTACTCTGTTTTTTATTTTATTTTTTTTAAAACACCAACAACTCCCAGGAAACATAAAAAGAAATCCTGGTTAGATTAGCAGAGCTTAATGCAAAATAAGCATAGAAATGATTCCTTATGAGAGAAAAAAATAAATACTATTTTGAACTTCTTTCCTCCAGAAAAACTTAAGTATTATAAGTCCCCTGAGAAAAGTTGGATTTATTGTTGGGAATCAATATCTGTGTTACTGTGTTAAAATAAGTTATGAAAGCACAAATTATATTTGCCTTATAGTTTGTCTTTCTTGGGATGGATCCCAGAAACTCTGCTTCTTCTAATTTTTTTTTATCTTAAAAAATTAGTTACTGAAGATATTAACATATGTTCTGACGGCTGGGCTCTGATTATTATCAAATGGTTTATTTCCATTTACTTCTGTATCAATCTGAATTCAGTTAGGAAAACAGAGCCACTATAAGTAATAGAAGAATGAGGGGTTAATAAAGGAAACTGGGCTTATACAGGTATGGAAGTCCTGGGGGAATGAAGGTATTGAAGGCTACAGCTGGGGAACTGGAAAACCAGTCTCTACCTCCTTTAGCCTGATGCACTGACACGAGTGGGGAAACCAACTTATGGGGAAACCAAGTAGCTGCACACATGCTGCCACCCAAAGTGGGACAAAAATGCATGATGAACATATTCATGAAGCCATCATATCTGTAAAGTGAGAGTTTGTGGAGAGTTGCATGAAAGGAGGCTGCTGTGTGCAGTACACACACCTTCTCAAGAATAATGGTTGCCCTGAATAGCCACAGCAATCTTGAAAAAGAAAAACAAAGTGGGAGGAATCACGCTACCTGATATCAAACTATACTACAAGGTCATAGTAATCAAAACAGCATGATACTGGCCTAAAAACAGACACACAGATCAATGGAACGGAACAGAAATAAACCCACATATATATGGTCAGTTAATATATGACAAAGGAAGCAAGAATATAAAATGGGGTAAAGATAGCCTATTCTAAATGGTGTTGGGAAAATTGGACAGATACATGCAAAAAAAAAAAAAGAAAAGAAAAGAAACTAGACTGCCTTCTTACATCATATACAAGAATAAACTCAAAATAAATTAAAGACTTAACTATAAAACCCCAAACCATAAAACTCCTAGAAGAAAACATAGACGGTAAGCTTTCTGACATTGCTCTTACTAATATTTTTTCTGATATATCTTCTCTCACAAGGGAACCAAAAATAAACAAATGTGATTTCATCAAACTAAAAAGGTTTGCAAAGGAAACCATCAACAAAACAAAAACAACCTACTAAATGGGAGAACATATTCACCAATGGTATATCTAATAAGGGGTTAATATCCAAAATTTATAAAGAACTCAGACAACTCAACACCAGAAAACAACAATGCTCCAATTAAAAAATGGGCAAAGGACCTGAATAGGCACTTCTCCAAAGAGGACATAGAGATGGCCAATAGATATATGAAAAGATGCTCAATGTTACTAACCCTCAGAGAAATGCAAAATAAAACCACAATGAGGTACCACCTCACATCTGTCAGATTGGCTATTATCAAATCAACAAACAAGAAGTGTTGGCAAGGATGTGGAGAAAAGGGAACCCTTGTGCACTGTTGGTGGGAATGCAAATTGGTACAGCCACTGTGGAAAGCAGTATGGAGTTACCTCAAAAAATAAAAATTGAACTGCCTTAAGACCTAAAAATTCCACTTCTGGTATACATCTGAAGAAACCCAAAACATAATTTGAAAGAATATATGTACCCTTATGTTCACTGCAGTGTTATTTATAATAGTCAAGCTATGGAAGCAACCCAAGTGCCTGTCAATAGATGATTGAATAAAGAAGCTGTGGTACATATATACACAATGGACTATTACTAGGCCATAAAAATAATGATATCTTATGTGACAGCATGAATGGACCTAGAGGGTATTATGCTAAGTGAAATAAGTCAGACAGAAAAATACAAAAGCCATATGATTTTTCTTATATGTTGAATCTAAAGAATAAAATAAATGAAGAAACAAACCAGAAACAGACTCATAAATTCAGATAACAAACTGAGGGTTTCCAGATGGAAGGTGGGTTGGAGGGCTAAGTAAAAAAGGTAAAAGAATTAAGAAGTACAAACTGATAGCTATAAAATAGTCATGGACATATGAAGTCCAGCATAGGGAATATAATCAATAATATTTTAATAACTGTGTATAGTGCCAGGTGGGTCTAGACTTATCAGGAGGATCACTCATAAATTATATAAATGTCTAACCACTATGCTGTACACCTGAAACTAATATAATATTGAATGTCAGCTGTAATTGAAAAATAAATTTTAAAAAGGGATAATGATCTCTTCTTCTCTCCCACCTCCTAAATCTCAGGTGAATTTTCTCATTGGCAAACTATGACATACTGAAACCTTTCTGCTAAAGAGGGGCACAAAGTTCATTCATTTTCTGAGTAAAATTTCCCTTTAATGTCCTGTGTAAGTTCACCGTTGCTACATAATGTACAACCACAAAATCTCAGTGACATAGAACAGTAAGCATTTGTGTAGGTCACACATTGGCAGTTTGGCTGGCTTCCTTGGGCTGGACATGGCCGGAAGGCGTGGCTGGGAATGCTGAGCTCGGTGCCTCTCATCTTTTTCTGTGACAGGGGGCTAGTCCAGGCACGTTCTTGGGAGGATGGCAGGCATGAAAAAGAGCAAGCCAAATTGCACAAACCCTTCCTAGACCCTGAGCATGTCACACCTACTAACCCATTGATCAAAACAAGTCACATGGCAAAGCTTGACGTCAAGGGTCAAGGGAGCATATTGTTCCCATGGAGGTGAAATAGGATAAGAGTGAATATTTCTGAACAATAATCTAAATTACCATGACATTTTAGGTACAGTGTCTTTTCTTAGTGTAAGATTAAACACAAAGGATTGTCTACTCCTTTTTCAAAGAAGACAAGGCTCAGCACTGAAGAGCTAATTAATTTATGGACATTCCTTAAAATATTCTCCCTTCCAGCTCACCTTTCTTAATATTTCTCACTCATCATGGATTTACTCCCCCTTTTCCCAAATGAAAGCTGCTAAAAGCATGCCAACTCTACTTCATTCATTCATTCATTCATTTATGAACGTTGAATACCTATTATATGCCAAGCACTGTGCTGTGGCAGATTAGGGGTAAGCAGCCCCTTCCCTCAGGAGGTCACTTTCTATTGAAGAGTCTAGACTGGCAGTAAAGGACTAGTATCACACAGCATGTGTGGAGGGCAAACTCTAAGGTGGTCTATCATGATCCCCAAATTCTAGTGTTCATACCTTTATGTAATCCTCTCCCTTTTAAGTATGGGTGGGACCTGTGATTTTCTTCTAATCAATAAAATATGCCAAAGGTGAGGAGTCCCACTCCCATGATTATGTTACAATACATAATATTCCACCTTGCTATCAGACTAGCTCTAAAGACTCTCCCTGCTGACTGGCTGAAGGAAAAGGCTATGTTGGGAAAGCCCATGTGGCAGTGAACTACAGGCAGCCTTTAGGAGCTGAGGGAGGGCTCCAGCGTATAGCCAGTGAGAAGCTTGGGGCTCCATTCTAAGGACAGAAGGAAGTGAATTCTGTCAACAACCTTAGAGAGCTTGGAAGCATATCCTTCCCCATTCAAGCCTGCAGATAAGAATGCAGCCCAACTGATCCCTTGATTACAGCCTATGAAATCCCAAGCAGAGGATCAAGTTACACTGTGCCTGGACTCTAGGCACACAGAAACTGTGAAATAATAAATGTGTTGTTTTAAACTATTAAGCATGGGGCAATTCATTACATAGCAATAGAAAAGTAATAGGGCATGAAGTGCATGATAAAAATGCTCTGAGAGAGACCACAGGGGAAGTTTCCTAGAGAAGGTAATACCTGAGCTGAATCTCAAAGGATGAGTAGGTACTAGAAAAGAAAAGAAAGAAAGGAGAAAAGGTTGTTTGGAGTGGGAATATGAGAAAACATAGTGTACTGTCATCAATTTTTTTAATTGAGGAAGGAAATAAACAACATGACCCTAGTGCTGTGTGGTGTTTTGGGAGTGAATGAGGGAGTGGTAAGAGATATCACCGAAAAGGCAGATATTAGAGCAGTAAAGACTTTGCCATGTCAAAGAATCTAAATTTTATCCCGAATGAACTGGGAAACAAAGGATTTTAGAGTTAGTAAAACAAAAGCAGAGTTGAGCTGTAGAAAGCAGTCTGACAAAGCATGGGCAGAAATTGTATTCATTAACTTCCCCAGATGATCTCTTTCTATTGGTGAAGATGGTGGGAATGTTGGAGGATAATGATTGCAGAAAGGAGTGGAGAATTCATGGAGGAAGCAGAGAGTAAGGCTGGAAAATGTAACATTTCTTACCATTCCTTGCAGGGAGCCTGGAAGAAGGCAGAGTTGAACAGAGAAACTGAGGCTGGTGACTTAGAGAAGAAAATCTGATTGGTAAACCAAAACAAGGAGGAGAAAGAGAAGTAGGACTTGAGCTAGGGAAAAGAAAGTTAGAGTATGAGTGTAGGAACCATGGAGAATCATTGAATGAAGGTTATTGCAGTGCCTAGCATTTATAAGCTAACGAGAGGCCTGGTGCACAAAATTTGTGCACGGAGGTTAGGGGGTCCCTCAGCTCGGCCTGCACCCTCTCCAATCCAGGACCCCTCAAGGGATGTCCGACTGCCAGTTTAGGCCTGATCCCACAGGCAGTCAGATATCCCTCTCGCAATTTGGGACCACTGGCTCCTAACTGCTCACCTGCCTGCCTGCCTAATCACCCATAACCACCTCTGCCTGCCGACCCGATCGCCTCCTAACTGCTCCCCCCTGCTGGCCTGATCACCCCTAACCGCCTCTGCCACTGTGGCTTTGTCTGGAAGGACGTCTGGAAGATGTTCGGTCGAATTAGCATATTAACCTTTTATTAGTATAGATGTGTTTAAAGAACAGGGGTCAGGAAAACAATACCTAATACTTATAGTACTTCCCAGTTCACAAAAATTTTTACATACATGGAGTAATTTAGTCACAAGAATCTTGTGAAATAGGGCAGCATATTAGAAACAAATACTTATTAAACATTTTTTTATTTACCCTGTGCTACCTGAGAATGAAAACACTGAAACTCAGAAGTTAAGTGACTTTGCCATGACTAAATAGAGCTGTTATCTAAACCCAACTTCTCTGCCCCCAAATGTCTTGCTTTGCCTTCTGTACGAGCTGATTTCTATTATAAATTATCAGCTGTCTCTTCCTCCTTAAAATCTACCTTAAATCTATCCCCAATGTTTCTTTGAAAAACATTATTTCAAAAAGAGCACCAAAAACAACTCAACTAACATTATTCCTTTCTTTTCAGCCATATTGCATATCTTTGAGTCTGTAATGAGTATTAGGGAAAAGTTTACTGTTTTGCTTGTTTTAAATGCTTTTATACATTTTGAAACTTAGCCTTAGATGTTCAAATTGTATATTATAGTGTAGTGGGCTTGAAAGTATAACTAATTAATTTTTTTCAAAGCTCCAATTGTTATTTAAGTAATTTACTCTAAAAAAAATTTTGTTAGTCAGAAAGAGTTAAAGCAACTTTAAAAGAAAAACACAAGATTAAGCCTCACATATTGAAATTTATTTAAAGTAACAAAAAATTTAAATTTATTATTATGAATGATATTTTAGTTCTAAAAACAAAGCAAAACAAATAGGCTGAACTCAGTTTACCTGAAACTGGGGAGGGATAAATTCTGCTGCTTTGATACTGGGCTTTGTGAGGAGTTTTAGTTTCTCTAGTATACTGAGCCTTGGCAGCAGCATACCTAGAAAAAGAAAAAGGAGAAATTATGTACCTTCCCAAATGAATTTTGGGATGCTTACATTACTTTTGAGAAAAATAAGGCAAACAAATCAAATGAAACAGACGAGTAGAGCAATGGGTTTTGAACATGGTGCCATTCTGAGTGTTGACTAATGCAACAGTAAACTGAAATTGTTCCAATTTGTGTTTCCCGACAGAAGAGTAGTTAGAAAAGCAAATGAATATGGTATAAGATTAATATTGTAACAATAATAAAACAATATCGTTTGGTATAGCAAGGTGTATTGGTTTCCTATACAAGTGGGGCTCCATAATAAATGACCACAAACTTGATGGTATAAATTTATTCTCACAGTTCTGGGGGTTAACGTCTGGAATCAGGTGTTAGGGCCACGCTCCCTCTTTAAGGCGTTTGGGAAGATCCTGCCCTGTCTCTCCCGAATTCTGCTGGCTTCCAGTGATCCTTAGTGTTCCTGGAATTGTAACTGCATCACTCCAATCTCTGTCTCTACCGAGATATGGCCTCTTCCCTGTGTGTATCTATGCCCTCTCGTTTTCTTAGAAGGACACCAGGCACTGAATTTAGGGCCCACATCAATCCGGCATAACCTCATCTTAACCAATTATACCTGCAAACATCCTCTTTCTGAAAGAGTTTGTGTATATTGGCATTATGTTTCCCTTGAATCTCTGCAAAAATTCTCCATGAAGCCACCTGGGCTTGGAGTTGTCTTTATGTGAAGGTGTTTAAGCTAGCAATTCAATTTCATTATGAGACATAGGATTATTCAGGTTATCTATTATGTTTTAAGCGAGCCTTGGTAGATACTGTCTTCCAAGAAATTTGTTCACTTCATCTATGTGGCTGAATTTATTGGTCTGAAAAAGTCTTTATTGTGCCTTCATTTTAGAGAGAGATTTTCACTGGGTATAAAATCTAGGTTAACAATTTCTTTCTTTCGAGCACTTTAAAATTGTCATCCAGCCCTGGCTGGTTTGGCTCAGTGGAGAGAGTGTCGGCCTGCGGACTGAAGGGTCCCAGGTTCGATTCCGGTCAAGGGCATGTACCTTGGTTGCGGGCACATCCCCAGTAGGGGGTGTGCAGGAGGCAGCTGATCGATGTTTCTCTCTTATTGATGTTTCTAACTCTCTATCCCTCTCCCTTCCTCTCTGTAAAAAACCAATAAAATATATTTAAAAAAAATTGTCATCCATTATCTTCTGGCTTACGAGTTTTCTGACATGAAGTTATTGGTTGTTTTTATCTTTGTCCCATTATGTGCAGTGTGTATTTTCTTTTTACCATTTGCTGCTTTGAAAATTTTTCACTTTATCACTGACTTGCAGTGATTTTATTGTGGCACATTATAATGGGCCTTGGTATGGTTTCTTTATATTTCGGTGTCTTGGGATCCATTGAACATGCTCTCTGAGTTTATAGCTTTTATCAAATTTGGAAAATATTCAACCATAATTATTTCTTCACATGTTTTTTCTGTCACTTCTTTTCTGAGACATCAGGTACAAGTAACTTACACAACTTGATATTGTCACACAGCTCACTGAGGCTCTTTTCCCCTTCTAGGCTTACTTGTAAGAGTTTATACTGCTACCCTTTCAAGTTCGTGGGCCATTTTTTCTACTGTGGCTAATTCGCTGTTCTTTCCATACAGTGTGTATTTAAAACATTTACTCATTTATTTTATCTCTAGATGGACTTTTGCATATCTTACATTTCTCTTCATTATATTTATGATTTTCTTTATATTTTTTGAATATACATTACAAGATGCTTAATAGCTGCTTTAAGGTCCATATCTATAAATTCCATCATCTCTATCATTTATGGATCTATTTAAGTGATAGAGATTTCTTTTGATTATGGGTTATATTTTCCTGCTTATTTAATATGACTGGTGATTTTGAATAGAATGAAGGACATTGTAATTCTTATTTTGGGGGCACTCAATTTTGTTATAGTCCTTTAAATATGGTTGCCCATTGTTTCAGTTTTTGTTCTATTGAACAAGATGCAACTAATACCTTGCAAATCAGTTTGGAATCTTCAAGGCTCATGTTTGAACTTACTAGACCAGCTTTTATTTGGGGGATAACACAGCCTCACTATTAAGGCTTGACCCTTCTGAAGTCTCTATCCAATGTCCCTTGAATTAATTAAGAGGTCTTGCCACTCTATCTAGCAGGAAGACAAACTATTTCTAGCCCTCTGTGAGCCTTGTGTGTGTACTAAATCAATCAATCAATCAATCAATCAATCAGTCAGTCAATCATTAGAAAATTCTTTTCCTCAGAACAAACATGACTTTAGAAAATAGCATAACTTGACTTTATTTTAAAAAAACTTGAAGACTAATATTTCCTTTTTCATTCATACATTTGTCTTCCTAATTAAAAACAAAAGTGTTGGCTCAGCCATCATGGCTCAATGGTTGAGCATCAACCCATGAACCAGGAGGTCAGGATTCCTTGTCAGGGCACGTGCCCGGATTGTAGGTGGGTTGTGTGCTCCATCCCCAGTGGGGAGCGTGTAGGAGGCAGCCCATCAATGATTCTCATCATTGATGTTTCTCTCTCTCTCCCTCTCCCAAGTCAATAAAAATATATTAAAAAACGACAACAAAGCAAAACAAAAAAAACCCAAAAGTGTTTAGGATTACTAAAGAAAGGCAAATTAAACGCTTATAAAGGAAAATGCCATATATAAAGTTAAAAAATAAAACAAAAAACCCTAACGCATGTATTCATTTTAATGTTCAGTACCTTTGGTAGCAATGTAAAGGACCACACATTTGAAAATATAGCTTTATGTACATTACAAGAGCCATAAAACTTACTGTATCCTAAAGTCTAGTAATCTGACTTTTTGTAATATGTACTAAGGCAGCGGTCCTCAACCTGTGGGTCGAGACCCCTTTGGCAGTCGAACGACCCTTTCACAGAGGTCGCCTAAGACCATCCTGCATATCAGATATTTACATTACGATTCATAACAGTAGCAGAATTACAGTTATGAAGTAGCAACGAAAATAATTTTATGGTTGGGTCACAACATGAGGAACTGTTTTAAAGGGCCAGAAGGTTGAGAACCACTGTTAAGGGAACTTCTTGGCTTCCCTGTGGTTCCTCCTTTCAGGTGGCCCACAATCTAATACACCTCTGGGCAACCGGAGCAGTCCTCCCTCACTCTGCTCAGACCAAGGCCTAAGCCAGTCCATGCGTGGTATTTCTGAGGCCAGGATGGGGAGAGTGCGAGTGGGGTGGGCTGTTAGAGAGAAGGCATGAGAGAGAGGGAGAGAAAGAGACAGGGAAACCCCTCAAAAGAGTGTTCTATGTGGGAGCCCTATTAAAGGAGCAATTTTCTTTTTAAAAAAGTCCAATATATGTTTTTGACTTGGTATCAAAACCCCTTTTTGAGGAGAGATGAAGGGGAGAGCAGCTGTAAGCCCCGGTATTTATAGCATAGGACGCTCCACCAGATTCTGGGCTACAAGCAGAAAGCTATGGCAAAGTCTTGGGGCTACATTCAGAGAGAAAAATTGATGAAATGAATTATATCCATAGAAGGGAACAATAAAGAATGTGGAACTCATTTTAAAAAGCAGTTGAAAGAACTGGGTGTGTGTGATGCTGTGACTTCTAATAATACATTTGGTCTTTGTCCCTGTTTCTGGCACAGAGCCCCCAACCCCCTTGGAATTACCTAAGTGATGACAGCAACAATGGTGTCTCTTGTTATGAGGTTAATGAGGTGACTTTTGGACCCCACCCAAGGATGGGGGGCTGGTTACCAGTAGGAGCCAACCATGTGGTTTTGGGATTGGAACTTTCAGTCTCACCCCCTGATGGCCAATGGCTTAGTCAATCATGACTACATAATGAAACGGCCATAAAAATCCCAATAAGGACAGCTCAAAGGTTCTTTTTTTTTTCTTTTTTTTTTTTTTTTGAGAGAGAGAGAGAGAGAGAGAGAGAGAGCGCTTCCACATTAGGGAACTAAAATGCTCTCACATGCCCTGGGCTGGGCCCCATGCTCCGCAGGGACAGAAGCTTCTCTTTGGGGACCTTTCCCTATGTATCTCTTCATTTGGCTATTGATTCATAAACCTGTAATAAAGGCTCCCTGGAAAATACAGACATGGAAAAAATACAAAGGATACTCAGATAAACATCATTTTTTATAGGGTTATATATTTAATGCATATAATTATATAACCTTTGTAATAAATCCGTAATCTAGTGAGGCAAAAGGTTTTTGTGTTCTAGCAGATTAAACAAACCTGAGGGAGGGGTTCATGGGAATTTATAAATTACAGTGAGTCAGTCTGAAGTACAGGTAACAACTGGGTTTGCAACTGGCATGTGAAGTGGACGGTGGTCTGTGGGACTGAGCCCTTGACCTGTGGAATGTGATGTTCTCTCTGGGCAGACAGCGCTGGAACTGAGCTGACACTGTGCTGGCGTCTGAGAATTGCTGGTTGGTGTAGGGAAGCCTCCATGCATGCGTTAGAATCGGGTGGAGAAGCCCTTTTTAAGTGTATTTATTCAGGAAAAGAGAAAACTTGAGGGGTGGTGGGAGAAAGACATGCTAGCTGTTTCTGAGGCGTGAGCGAGTCCACACAACAGCAGAGCCTCATTTGTGCTGCTCCCAAGGACAAGTGGCGATGCTTTCTTTTCTGCCATAACTGTGTACCTTAACCATGTCTTCTACCTACAGCCAAAAACACCCCTGGGTTTTCAGTGTCTGCACTTGTATCAGCCTGATCTAATAGAAAAATGCACGGGTTGTAGCATCTGACAGGCCACTGAATGTGTAACCTTAGGGAATTTTTAAAAACTCCTTCTGGCCCTAACCGGTTTGGCTCAGCGGATAGAGCGTCGGCCTGCGGACTCAAGGGTCCCAGGTTCGATTCCGGTCAAGGGCATGTACCTGGGTTGCAGGCACATCCCCAGTAGGGAGTGTGCAGGAGGCAGCTGATCGAT